ATAACAGGAACGAAGAAAAGTGTGTTTCTTTTTTCAAAAGTTTCAGGTTTTTTTGTATTATTTAGCAAAAAATAAAACACCCAGTGGTGATTAAATACCACCAAAAGAAAGCTCTATTTGTGTGAAAAAAAATGTTTTTTCATATGGGTACAGTGTTGCATGACCGCGCAATTGTCATTCAAATTGTGACAGCGCTGAAAGCTGAAAATTGGCCTGGGCAGGAAGGGGGTATAAGTGCCTAGTATTGAAGTGGTTAAAATACACTTGTCTGACCTTATGCATAAGGAGCACCTTCAGAAGTCTAAAAAGGCACTGCTGGGCCCCAGCAAACCCAGTTTGCTCTAATCCAGCTTTTCTCAACTGGAGTGCCACCTGAGGTCCTCAGTGGTGCCGCAGCATCCTGGTTGAGAAAGGCTGTCTGATCCGACCGCTCTTGCTCCCGTTCCTCCGCCAAACTGTACATCGGCATAGCAGGCACATTTTTGGTTGTCACCCGAACATGAATGTAAACACACGCAGCAGAAATTTGCTGATCTGGGCAATGTATGGCCAGGAATGACCATATGAATACACCTGAAAACCAAACGCAGTGCAGTGCAGCGTACCAGCTATCTTTACTGCTCTTTACCCACTTGCCCTCCTGAGGATTTACCCCCCTTAATGACCAGGCCTTTTTTTGCTACTCGGCGCTGCACTAATTCAACTGATAATTGCGCGGTCATGCAATGCTGTTCCCAAATGAAATTTACGTCCTTTTTTTCACACAAATAGAACTTTCTTTCGGTGGTATTTGATCACCTGTGCGCTTTTTATTTTTCACGCTATAAACAAAAAAAAGACCAAAAATTTTGAAGAAAAACAATATTTTTTACTTTCAGCTATAAAAAATATACAGTAAACTCAAAGTTAGTCATAAATTTAGGCCAAAATGTATTCTGCTCCATGTTTTTGGTAAATAAAATCCCAATAAGTGTATATTGATTGCTTTGTGTGAAAGTTATAGCGTCTACAAACTATGGTATAGATACTACAATTTACGCCATTTTTTTGCTATACAGCACTGCGCTAGTTTAACAGACAATTGCGCGGTCATGCAATACGGTACATAAATTAAATTTACATCCTTTTTTCCCACAAATTGAGCTTTCTTTCTGTGGTATTTGATTGCCTGTGCGTTTTTTTTATTTTTTTGCGCTATAAAAAAAGGCTGACAATTTTGAGGAAAAAAAAAACAATATTTTGGACGTTTTGCTATAAAACATGTCCAGTAAAAAAAAATGTAAAAATCAAATTTAGTCATAAATTTCTTCCAAAATGTATTCTGCGACATGTCTTTGCTAAACAAAAACCCCAATACGTGTAAATTAATTGGTTTATGTGAAAGTTATAGCGTTTACAAATAGCGGGAAAGATACTGGGATTTTAAAAAAAATTTATACTAATAATGGCGGCCATCAGTGACTTATGGCAGGACTGCGGCAGACATTCTAACACTGGGAGGGAACTGACTTGGGGTCACTGACATCCCCAGTGACACCAATACAGTGATCAGTGCAAAAAAAAAAACCAAAACACTGACACTGTACTAATGGCACTGGGGAGGAAGGGGTTAACTTTTTTATTTACTGAAAGGGTTAACTGTGTGAGGGGAGTGTTTTACTAGGGGGTGGGGGTGTGTACTGCAGGGAAACACGCTGATCTGGAGAGATAAACTCTTCTCTCCGGACCAGCATGTCAGGAGCTGACAGGGGACTGACAGAAAGCACAGCTGCAGTGTAAACACTGCAGCCGTCCTGTCTGTTAGTGATTGCCGCTAATCACTGGGACATGGTAGGTAATGATCGGCCGTGACCCGGTGACTGCCACCCGCGATCGGCGGGACGGATAGGGCAGGCACGCGCCTCGCGTGTGCCCCCTACCTGTTTTGCAAACGCACGTTTTAAAATGTGGTTTTGCCCAGACGTGCAGACCTGCCACCGTATTTCTACAGTGGCTGGTCGGCAAGAAGTTAACAGTGGGACACAATACGGGAAACTTCTGTTCCATGTGCATTTCCCACACTGTGGGTGTCAGTATAATCCTTACAACACCCCAAATGCAGATTGCAAACGCAGTGTGTTTGCCTGCACCGGATCACATGGTGCCACAGTACCATGCAATCTGGTGCAGTGCATTTTTGAGAAGTAGTACATGAACTACTTTTGGTGACCCACAATTTCAGCCCATTCAAATGATTGCACTGAAAATCATACCACTCCGGTCCATGTTTTTGTGCATATCGGCCCTTAAAGCTGAAATTTCGTTTTTTGGCTGTTTTGTTTTGCTATGCAGCACCAGGGACATAACTTACCTGTAATGAAGGTTGACCCATGCCTGGCTGGCTGTAGACATCCTCTCCTCACAGTGCTGATCTTCCGCTGGGGTTAGCTTCACCCACTGATTGCTAAAGAGTTGCACCACACAACTGTCCCTCCCATCTGCTTCGTCCAATAGAACCCATACTATTCTTTCCAAGAATGCATTTTGCTCTGTGATTGGAAAACACAGATCCTGTCATTCATCTACCCATTCTCCATTCACTGAACGCTTTGTGTTCTGGAAAAGGATAGAAAAAGAAATGGGGAATTTAATAAGGGGCCCCCCTTTTCTTATGGGACTGTGGCAGGGGGGAAATTTTAAGTCTTCCCGCTGTATATATACAGTGGAGAAACTTCTAGAACACAGGTGTCAAACACAAGGCCCGTGGGCTAAATCCGGCCCTCCAGGCCATTTCATGTGGCCCTCACACCTCTCTTGAAGGTACCCCCTCATCTCCGCCCCGCCTTGTCTCAGCAGTTGGCAGCAGAGAAGAGAATACAACTCCTCTGCCAAATCCTGCACCTCTCAGTGCAGCTGCAGCACCCTCTCATCTCTGCCTCTCCTGGTCTCAGCATTTAATAGACTCCGGAAACTGACTCCACTCCTCCTCTGGTCCTCCTCCAGACCCTGTGCTTTCTGCTTTCCAGCTCTGCCACCAAAGGGGGTGTACAGTGATGTTAGAGAGGGTGTGGGATTCTTGACATCTGATGTAATGGAGGGGTGGGGTGCTCTGGACATCTAGTCCTACAGATACAACCGCCCTTTGAGGGCAACCATAATGCTAATAAGGCCCACTATGAAATGGAGTTTGACACCCCTCTTCTAGAAGGTCGGCAGGTTTTTAGTCCCTCTATTCAGTATGGGGTGAAGAAAAACCATTAAAAGTTTTAAGCCCCCCGTTATAAATTAATATGATGAGGAAGTTTCTAGAAAATGGGAGTTTTAAGCCACCCACTGCACCTGGGCATACCTGGATGGCAAATTAGTCAATCATAAGAGGACTAAGAGAGAGGAGAGGGCTATAAAAGGGGGGTTCCGGTCATAGGGGAAGCAGGCACCTGGGAGGCATCTCTATGGTGCTCCCCTCCCACCCGCCCCTTTTTGTTGTCGAGGCCAATTATTATTGGTGAAGTCACCTTTTTTCAAAGGAGGACAAGTAAATAAGTATGTTTAATTGAAATGAGATGGATCGTTAGCTTGGTATGGTTAATAAGTTGCTGTTTTAATATGTACAGCTTGAGTCGTAGTGACCAAGCTGGTGTTGTGTAGTGATACTTTAAGAAAAAATGTTTAAAATATTAATATTGAGTTAATATGTACAAATAAAGAGTTATTATAAAAAAAATTATACTTATCTATACCAATAATAAAATGGCCGGGGCCAAGTTATTACCAAAAAACTTGTTGTTGTCTTTTAATTGATTAAAGAATAAAGCATACTGCCTACAGTCCCATAGTACAAGCTCTATGAATGAAGGAGGCAGTCAGAAGGAGCAAATCAGCAACAGAAGTCTTTTCCACTTGCAGTGGATGATTTGAGTGGTCCAGATGATCAGTGCTGTGGGTAGGACCCAATGGTAATGGAGAGAAGATGAGCGGCAACCGGCCATGGGGCGCATTTCTGTAGTTATCCCCTGGAACTCTCTACCGCAATTTATCAGACTATCGCCTACTCTGCTCACGTTTAGGCAATCTCTGAAAATTATCTCTTCAGGGAAGGCTATCCTGCTGCTGCCCTCAGTTAGTAATGGAATCTTCTATTCCTTCTATCAGTTCATCCACCACAGTTACTACCTTTTGTTCCACTAGCCCCTCCCTCTTAGATTGTAAGCTCTAAGGAGCAAGGCTGTCCTAACCCTCTTGTATTGAAGCTGTATTGTTTCCTGTTACATTGTAAAGGGCTGAGCAAACTGTTGGTGCTATATTTGTTTATGTATTATTTATTTCAGGTACTTATATAGCGCCATCAATGTATGCAGTGCTTTACATATATATTGTATATTCACATCAGTCACTAACCTTCAAGGGGTGTACAATCTAAGGTCCCTAACTCACATTCATACCTACACATACTAGGGACAATTTAGACAAGATCCAATTCACCTACCAGCAAGTCTTTGGAGTGTGGGAGGAAACCCACACAGGCACAGGGAGAACATGCAAACTCCAGTGCCGTGGCTTGGATTTGAACCAACAACCCTAGTATTGCCAGGCGGAAGCGCTAACCATTTAGCCACTGTGCTGCATATAATCCTGAATAATAATAATAATAATAGTTATGTCCCTGCAGCTACATAGTGGAAAAAAAAATATTAACTAAACATCACTAAAGTTTAAAGTGACCCTGTCATGATTTTTATTCATACAACAATGCAGTTTTTAGCAGGAGGAACCAGTGAGAGTTGTGGAGGACCCAGAAAATGGAAACTCCCAGAAGTGTTGGGTTTTCAAAAGAATTGGAGGGACCATTCTATTTGATTGGATCAGTCTTTGGACATGTGGGTAGCAGGAAAGGTAAGTATGTCCAGTCTGGCAGGGTATTTGGTTTGGGCAGATAAAAGTCATGATTGGGTCCCTTTACTTTCTGAGACACTGTCCAGGAATGAACATGCAGGCAGTGAAGCCTGAACGACAGTCTCTCTGTCAGTGGCGGACTGACCATTTGGAAACTCGGGCACTGCCCAAGGGCCCGGGGTCAGTAGGGGGCCCCATGAGATGCCCCTGGTACCCTTTTCATAGGCTTTTTTGAGTTTGGACAAGGACATAGGGGCCCCATGATCCCCTATTGCCCGGGGGCCCCATGAGTTGTCAGTCCGCCCTTGCTCTCTGTATTTTCCTCTCCCGAAGCATCAACATTGCTGGCATGTAGAGGAGGAGGACATCACACATACCATACCTGCTTTACAAGTGTTTAGGTTATAGGTGTGATAATAAATTACATAACCTCTCCAAGCATTCACTGTGTACAATATCTGCGACACATTTCTACATTGTTTTTACTGTTGGGTGCAGTATTATTGCTCTAGCTTTTTTTAGTTAATTGAATAGCACATATACTTATTTAATAATACTGTGTACACATACACTTCCTTCACATAAATATACGGTAATAATGTAATAATAGAATATGTTATCCTGAATAGCATACAGTTTTTTTGTACACGGCATGTCTACATTCCAGGAGCTTTTAATCATAGTGATACAACTACGCGTCTCCCTACAGCCTTAGTCATGCTAAAATAGAGATGATCGTAAACCTGACACCGGATATTAAACAGACAACAGTAAAATCTTCTCTAAAACCCACAAATGTTAAGAAGGTTTTCATTTTAGTGACTTGACCAACGGAGGTTATACCGCTCTATTAGGATAGGTTGATTTTATTTTCTGTAACCACTTCAATACCGAGCACTTATACCCCCTTCCTGCCCAGGCCAATTTTCAGCTTTCAGCGCTGTCGCACTATGAATGACAATTGCGCGGTCATGCAACACTGTACCCATATGACATTTTTATATATTTTTTCACACAAATAGAACTTTCTTTTGGTGGTATTTAATCACCACTGAGTTTTTTATTTTTTGCTAAATAAAACAAAAAAACACTCAAAGCCTTTGAAAAAAACGCACTTTTCTTCGTTTCTGTTATAAAATGTTGGAAATAAATAAAATTTCTTCATAAATTTAGGTCAAAATTTATTCTGGTACATTTCTTTGGTAAAAATAATAATAATAATTGAATTTGTATTTTTTTCAAATGTTTTTATTTTTTATAAAACATTTTCTTTTTTTTACTATTTTATTTTTCAGCACACTGTGACCAAAGCAATACAATGTTACCATAGTAACATTGAACTACTCTGGGCAAGTGATCAGGATTTTTTTTTTTTACACATTATGATTGCTAATACAATTCATTGATTTTTGCAATCATTGTTACTGAATGAAACTGATTCATTCAGTCTTTTGCTGTGATTAGCTGTGATTGGGCAAAGCTGATCACATGATACAGATGGGCTGTGATTGGCCCTGTCTGTATCATGTGACTGCTTTGACCAGTCAGAGCTAACAACATAATTGTATTCAATGGATGGAATGACAGGAAGCCATCCATTGTATGCAACTGACATGTGATCTGCTGTGATTAGTCACAGCAGTCACATGACACTGGCAACGGGCCGGTATACTGATATGTCATCAGCTGTGTCCCGTGGACACAGCTGGTGACAGATCGCGCTGCTGCGTGGCCCCGTGAGTGGCTCGTTTTGACAGGACGTCATATGACGCCCAGTCACAACGGCAAGTGTCCCGCCAGGCCTATAGCAGATGAATAGCCGGGTGGGACACTCACCATTGTGACTGGGTGTCATATGACGTTCTGTCAAAATGAGCCGTTCACGTGGCCGCAGATGTTAAAGCAAACCCATGCTGTGACCATGCAGGTACAGGTTCACTTTAAAGCTGAACACTGAGCAGGAAAACTTTTATTCAAATATATACTAATGGCCACAGGGAATGTACAGTAAATCCACTTTGTGAAGAGAAGGGTTTTCAGGGATTGCCTAAAAGTGGACAAAGTAGGTGATAGTCAGATGGATCGGGGTAGGGAGTTCCAGAGGATGGGAGAGGCTTGGGAGAAGTCTTGGAGCCGAGCATGGGAGAAGGTGACAAGGGTGCTAGAGAGCAGGAGGTCTTAGCAGGAACAAAGAGAACGTTTAGATTGGTATTCAGTGACTAAGTTAGTGATGTTGCTGGGGGTCGAGTTGTGAATGGCTTTGTAAGTTGTTGTTAGTATTTTGAATTTAATTTGTTGGGTGAGTAGAAACCAGTGGAGGGATTGGCAGAGAGGGGTAGCAGATACTGATGAGTCTGGCAGCAGCATTCATGAGATGGCAGCCTGATTAGGTAGTAACCTGAATAGGGAATAGAGATAGAGAGAGAGGAAGAATCAAATGTACAGATACTGTGTGTTGTGATAACTTAATGCCTAGTAAAGTGTTTGGTCTGAAGTCCTTCTAAAGGGGTGCAATAAGGTACCTGGTGTATCCAAAAGGGGGATGAAGAGAACAAGTAAGAGAGCCACAATGAAAGGGTTAACCATGAACAGGAGTTGACAAGAAGTCATGTCCAACGAGCAGATGCTATGGGTAACCAAGAACTGGTGGGAATGCTATAGCTGCCAGCCAGTGGGAGAGTGGTACCAGGCATGGGTGACGGTGTACTCTGGAGGTCGGTGCTCTAACTCCTGCTCTAGAATTTGGTGCCCCTAGGGCAGTGGTCGGCAAGCCGCGGCTCACGAGCCACATGCGGCTCTTTACAAACTTAAATGCGGCTCTTCTGTGTGCCGGGCGCCCGCTCCCCTCCCTCCTCTTGGGCGGCCGCCCGCTCCCCTCCCTCCTCTCGGGCGCCCGCTCCCCTCCCTCCTCTCGGGCGGCCGCCCCCCTCCCTCCTCTCGGGCGCCCGCTCCCCTCCCTCCTCTCGGGCGGCCGCCCCAAAAGTCAGGACTCTGCAGCTGTCAGGATGTAGACGGGGCAGCCAGGATGTAGGCGGGGCAGCGTGACGAACTCCTCTCCTCTCACAGTCCGCCCTGAAGACCAGAACGGCGCGGGAACACGGCGAGAGGAACGCGCGGAGCAAAGGTAAGTGAATTGACACAATATGGGGAATGAATTACTATAGGGGGGATGAATTACTATGGGGGATGAATTACTATATGGGGGATGAATTACTATGGGGGATGAATTACTATATGGGGGATGAATTACTATAGGGGGGATGAATTACTATATGGGGGATGAATTACTATATGGGGGATGAATTACTATGGGGGATGAATTACTATATGGGGGATGAATTACTATGGGGGATGAATTACTATGGGGGATGAATTACTATATGGGGGATGAATTACTATGGGGGATGAATTACTATATGGGGGATGAATTACTATATGGGGGATGAATTACTATGGGGGATGAATTACTATATGGGGGATGAATTACTATATGGGGGATGAATTACTATATGGGGGATGAATTACTATGGGGGATGAATTACTATGGGGGATGAATTACTATATGGGGGATGAATTACTATATGGGGGATGAATTACTATATGGGGGATGAATTACTATATGGGGGATGAATTACTATATGGGGGATGAATTACTATGGGGGATGAATTACTATGGGGGATGAATTACTATATGGGGGATGAATTACTATATGGCGGGGGGATTAATTACTATGGGGGATGAATTACTATGGGGGATGAATTACTATATGGGGGATGTATGTTCAGTTTTAAAAATGTGGCTCTCAAAATAAATTTCAATCGTGGTTTTGGCGAGATTTGGCTCAGTTGAAAAAAAAAGGTTGCCCACCACTGCCCTAGGGCATTCAAGAAAAAAGAAAGAAAAACAAAAAAAAAACCTCTCTAGCAACACACACCAAACTGAGCATGTGCAGAGTGTCTCCACATGATATGCTTTATCAGGAGATAAGAGGGGGCACTGGAAAAAGGGGAGGATCAGAGAAGACAGGATCAAACAGCCTTTTGCAGAATATAGTAGTCATGTGACTTCTATCAGTGCCCAGCAGAGCACTGGTTAAAGCTCATAGCACATTTTTACACAGTGCCAAGGTTTAACTCCTTAGGTTTCACAGGGAGTATAACAAGCATGCTTTACTACATATACAGACTGATTCTACTGTTGTGGGTTTAGTAACACTTTAGTGACCACTTACCCGTCTAAATTATCCTTAGCCCGCCCATATACTGCCCCAGTGGCCCATTAGGCAACAAAATGCATGCCAGTAGCAGAGTAGGCCAAGGGCATATGTGACAGCAGAAAGGACAGGAAATTGTAAACATGAGGCACACATATCCTAATAAAATGTATAAAAACAAGTAAAAGAGGTTAATAAAATGTTGGCATCCCTGCAATGGACTTTTTTTTCTCATGAAAGACATGTGTCTGTTTACAGCCAGGATGTAAACCCTAGCAGGAGGCCTTGTTTCCCCAGCAAGTTCCATACAGAGCTAGCTGCCTAAATTAACTCCAATTGAATAAATTGTACTTTACCAAAGCTCTGTGTATGCTAAATTGTTCTTTTTTTGTTTTGTTTTATTTTGTTTTTTAATTAAAATACCGGTTTTCACTTTCTTTTACCTCTACAGTCTGATTGCAGCCATTTCCTGTCTACATGCATGCACACTGGTGATGACTGCATGACATTTCTCAGGGCAGGTTTTCTGAAGGCCACAACAGTGGACTAGGACTGTATAATGTGTGAGGCCACTTGCAGCCCTTATCAGCCTGAGTCACAGGGTGACAACACAGGAGAACAACTGAGAGACAGGGATAGAGTGTTGTCACCCTATACCAGGAAGTGCTTGAATAAAAAAAACAGGTTTAATTTTAACAAATACTGATGATTGAAAAAAAGTGAAAAAGTAATTTAGGCCTCATGCAAACAGATGCTAAAATGCTGTGTTTAGATCCATGCAGTGTTTTTTGTGGGGGTTTTTTAACGCAGATCTAATAACCACTTCCCGTCCGGCCCATGTACATAAATGGCTGGATGGGAGCAGTGCAGGAGTGGGTTGCCATTCATAAGCGGCGCCTGCATTTTTAGGCTGTGCACGCTCCCTGGGAGCGCGCAGCACCACAATCCAGTGCCCGCTGTATGGTACCTCTGTGTGAGGTCCCAATCATGTGATAACTGATTGGCCAATCAGTGATCACATGAATAGTAATAAGCAACATGTCACTTCTGACATCATTGCTTGCTACTAGTGAAATCTGTGAATGATCACATGGTACAAGGCTATTCACAACAGCCTTGTACCATGTGACAAGCTGTGACCAATCACAGCTCTCACAGTATTTCTCAA